CCCGCGTTGGGAGAAAAGCCGATAAGAGCTGAAGGTGAGATAGGTTCGGAAGCATCCGACGAAGAAGATGAGGATGAGGTGGACGAGATTGAGCAATCGCGCAACTTGCGGCTGATGCGATTAGGCGCGGATCTGGACGATCTGCGATTGAGCGAAGCCATATCGGACGTTTCATCCATTGGCATTGGCGGAGAATCCGACGACGACGATGCTGAAGACGGTTCCGAGGTCGGTTCCGACGGCTCCATATCATCTGATGACGATGCGCTTGGAGAGTCTATGATGCTTGATGGCGAGACCAATGTGGAGAAGCAGGCTGCCGTAAGGCGACTTGACGAGTTCCGCGTGGAAGCAACAGCATCGTTGGAACGGGCATTCGAAGAAAACCACACTGTCGACGATGCAGCCATCGAACTCAAAACTCTTCGTATGGCCTCCAACGTCCCGCTCAAAGAAGTTCGCAAGACTGTCATCGGATTCATTTTCACCAAATGCGAACCAGACCGACCCAAAGAGATGCTCAAGCTTCTCGATAAGTGGTGTCCTTTGATCTCGGTGGTGGCGGTGGATGATCAGATCGAGGCGCTGGCGACGGCACAGAACTTCTGTGCAACACACGCAAAGTATTACAAGACCTTCGTCCCGCTTCTTAAGAAGTTCTATAATGACGATATCATTTCGGAGGAGAACATCATCGGGTGGTGGAAGAGCCCATTGAGCAGGAAGACCGAGCCAGAGATCGGCGGAGAGAAGAACCTGAGCTTGAGAAAGAGCGCCGAGGAGGTGATCAGGCACATCTTGGAGTCTCAAGAGAGTTCGGATGATGACGACTACGATGATGAAGATGAGGACTTGGAATAGTCTGAAGGATCAAGCCAGAAATCTAATCTCATTGTCCTTTCTCAAACCGAATGTACGGTTGCACGTTTTCCTGTGCTGGCGGATGCGAAAACGACACCTGAAACTAACGCAAATGGGTCAGCTTCAAGAACACGAACTTGAGCACAGGCGAGGTCAGGATGCGGAGAGCGCCTAGGCTCCTGAATGGATCACTGTATGGTTACGTCCTGCGTTCGCAATTCGCCGGCTATCACCTACCCAAAGAGCCAAATCCAGCACCTGGGGCACCATATTTGCGCCTGTTCTCATCCTCTTTTGCCTCTTCCGCTTTTCGCCTTCTCTCTGCCTCCAACCGTTGCTCCTCGTCGTGCAGACTGATATCAACTAGCATGCAATCTAGTTCTGGACTGACGATGAATTTCCTGTGCAGTTCACCCAACGCTGTGGCACTCTTATTTGTCGGATCTAGCAACATTACTTGTTGCAGGAACGTGCTCTGAGATCCTCCAGTGACCTCCATGACAAGCTCGCCGAAGCGCAAGAAGACTCGACCATCTCGATACACGTCGAGCTTGCCGACCAAGCCTTCGCTTTTGGATGAGGAGGATGATTTTGTGCCGCGTTTCTTGTCATCTTCTTCATCAGACGACGCTGAGTCGTCGTCAGAGGAATCGATTTCCGAGCTGGCACTGATGTCGTCTTTGATCGCTGCACGAGCAGATCCAGCGCCTCCAGCAGTACCTTCTGCGAACGACACACTGCGAAGCGAGCTCGTTGCGGACTTTTCGGCATCTGGTGCCGATGCTTCGGTGGTGGTGACCGGGCCGGTCCTGGACTTCTTAGGTGCCTTGAATTTTGGGAACAGCTGTGGGAACTGGAACAAGTAAAGCCTGTTTTCTGGATTCACATCGTCGTCATCGTGGAAGACAAAATCATCAACTAAATCGTCCATGAGCTCTTCGCCCTCACTTTCCGACAGATCGAGAGCGTCAGCAGTATTGACCTTTGTACCAGCTTCGTCTTCTAGCGCTGGTGTTGCTGAGGCGCTCGAAATCGCCATACTCGTACAACCTGATACGGTGAAATGCAGATCTCTCGTCGCATCATCATCGTCATCCTCGCTCTTCACTCTAACAGCTCCCGACTTTGGCTTGGCATCTTTTTCATCCTTCGACATCCTACCGTCCATCTTCTTCCGCCGAGCATTGGCTGCTCTTTGCTTGTCCTTCTTGCTCTCCTTCTCCGCCATCCTTGGCAACGCACGAGGAGCCAGCTCGTCAAGCACATGTACCTCGTCCATGTCTACGATCTCCACACCGCCATCCTCTGGGTCAGAGTACTGCTCTGCGTCTTTGAGTTTGTCCGGGTTACGATATGCAGCGCGGTCAGGGTCGGTTTTGGCCGGTGTATCGCTGCGGCTAGAGTCAGCACTACCGGCTGCAGGAGTTAGTGATGAGCCGCCTGGGCCGATGGGGGCAACTTTTTTGGCGGCAGAACGGGCAGCAGGACCCATAGCAAAGGGACCAGATGCCGTCATTTGAACGGGCTGTCGGGGCGGCCGAGCTCCGCCACGACCTCGTCCTCGACCGCGAGGACTGGAAGAGGGCCCAGAGGGAGCAGAGAGAGGAGACGCGGAAGAATATTCCGCGGCGTCTAGAGAAAAAGGTGCGGGAGATTCGGATGCTTTGCGACGTTGTGGCATGACTGGTCGAAATTGCATGCGCACGCCAGAGCCGGGGGCAGCACCAGGAGCAGGAGAAGCGTATGAAGAGCGAGAAGGAATAATTGAGGCGGTCGAAGATGTTGAAGCTCCGCGACCTGAACCACCTCGGAGGGCGGCGGCGCCACGAAGGGATGCCACCGCTCGAAGTGGACGACCATTGACGGGTGCAGTTGGGTTGGTGAAAGGTCGAGCACCATTGTTGGATTGACCTAAGCCCGAAGGCTGGTTTGAAGGATCCGACATTGTGATCTGGATGGTCCGAGGTTGTGTGTGCGACACTCGATGGTGAAGCGATAGGTCTGCTTGGAAGGGGAGGTGGAGTCGAAGGAGCAATTGATGCTCATGGGTCTTCTCAAAAATATGTGAGGGACTAGGCAGGACGAAAAACTGTATCGTTTTAAATAGTACTACTCTTAGGGCCGATGGACGTTTTTGGGTCCGAGTTCCGAGACACTCACACCAATCCGATAATTTGCAATCGGGGAGCAGGCAGGCCGCGATTCAAATCAATAGCCCAACAGACGAGAAAATCGCAGAAAAGTAAGAAAGGGGGTCAGGCAGTCAGAGTCATTCACCACGCTCTCCATCGATAAAGAGGATGCTAAGGAAAGAAGGTCGAAATCGGGCACAATACGCACGGTTGCAGCTCTTTGCTGCTATTTCTCGCGAGCGGTGCTCCACCTCAAGGTCCAAAACCGCTTTTTCACGAACGCACTGCGGATCAGTGAGATTCTGCTCGCATCTTTCCGGCGCCTTCGCTCGCATGTGCCTTCAATCGATTTGCTATGCCCGTGTCCAGCAGCGTGAGCAACATCTTCTCGCAACTTTGAACAACGTAGCGCCCACGCTTTCAACATTCCTTCCACCTTCAACCACGAAGATCTATTTCTACAACCCCGTACATCCCTCTTCAATACACAATGTCTCTCTCTAGCAAGCTTGGTATCACCGATGTCGACCTCAAAGACAAGAAGGTCTTGATCCGTGTCGACTTCAACGTCCCCATGGACGACACCAAGATCACCAACAACCAGCGGATCGTTGCTGCTCTTCCCACCATCAAGTACGCCATCGAGAAGCAGGCAAAGACTGTCGTTCTCATGTCCCACATGGGCCGCCCTGATGGCAAGGCCGTTCCCAAGTATTCGCTCAAGCCCGTCGCTGCCGAGGTCTCCAAGCTTCTCCACAAGGATGTCGAGTTCCTTCCCGACTGTGTTGGTGCTGACACTGAGAAGGCCGTTGCCTCTGCCACTGGTGGCAAGATTTTCTTGCTCGAGAACCTCCGATACCACGTTGAGGAGGAGGGCAAGGGTACCAACGAGGCTGGTGAGAAGGTCAAGGCCGATCCCAAGAAGGTCGAGGAGTTTCGTGCTTCTCTTACCAAGCTCGGTGATGTCTACATCAACGACGCTTTCGGTACCGCACACCGTGCTCACTCTTCCATGGTCGGTGTTCAGCTGCCCCAGCGTGCTGCCGGTTTCCTCATGAAAAAGGAACTCGAGTTCTTCGCTAAGGCCCTCGAGTCGCCCGAGCGTCCTTTCCTTGCCATCCTCGGTGGTGCCAAGGTCTCGGACAAGATCCAGCTCATTGACAACATGTTGGACAAGGTCAACTCGCTCATCATCTGCGGTGGTATGGCTTTCACCTTCAAAAAAACCCTCAACAACGTAAAGATCGGCACTTCGCTCTTTGACGAGGCCGGTTCCCACAAGGTCGCCGAACTCGTCGAGAAGGCCAAGAAGAACGGCGTCGAGCTCGTCTTCCCCGTCGACTACATCACTGCTGACAAGTTTGACAAGAACGCCAAGACCGGTTCCGCTACCGACGCCGAGGGGATCCCTGACGAGTGGATGGGACTCGACGCCGGTGAGGATTCGCGCAAGAAGTTCCGCGAGACTATTCTCAAGGCCAAGACCATCCTTTGGAATGGTCCTGCTGGTGTGTTCGAGTTCGACAACTTCGCTGGCGGCTCTAAAGCCATGCTCGACGCTTGTCTCGAGGCTGAGAAGAACGGTTCCACCGTCATTGTTGGTGGTGGTGACACCGCTACCGTGGTCGCAAAGTACGGCGCTGAAGAGGGCATCTCGCACTGCTCGACTGGTGGCGGTGCCTCCCTTGAGCTTCTCGAGGGCAAGACTCTTCCCGGCGTCAAAGAACTCTCTGAGAAGTGAATCTCTGCGCGAATTGCGATGTTGTAATCAGTACCATGCAATCTGCAAAACACGGAGCCTAGTGGCTCAAACTCTCTCCACATGTTATATCTGAATTCGAGGATGACTATGTAGGTCTGTCTTGAGATAGTGTCCCTTCCGAAATCTACTCTGCGCCTTTTTAGAGCCACTTAAGAATAGCTGCCGCTACGTAGAGCAACTGAGGCTTTCATTCGGGCAAACAGATATTGCGGAGTTATAATTACAATGTTTTTCCATCTTATCAAGGTTTCTTGGCGCAGTTGGTTAGCGCGTCTCCTTAACAACTTCTATCTTCAGATCGTTATAGCTAACGGAGGAGGTCGCCGGTTCGAACCCGGCAGAGATCATGCTTTTGCCTCGTTTATTTTTGCTATATGCTTGAGCTTCAGTCAATGCATCTCTGCACTCACCATTGTATGTCACTCAGACTTACAAGGAAGGCAAGGTGGAGAGCATAGAAGGAGAGCTGTGGCGCACACCTCTGTGGATGCTGTGAAGAGAATTAATCATCCAAAGTCCAGTCCAGCTATTTGGTTGTGGTCAACATTGCCATGAAAAGTGTAGTTTTTGGTGCTGTTAGTGTACCATTGTGGAATCCCAAAAGTAGCATTCTGCAAGCTGTATGTCAGGGGCCAATGTGCCTAGCTTGGGGTTCCATTTAATATCCAATGAAACCTGGGGTTTTATTGTGTTCCAAAATGAAACCCGCTGGAGGTGCATGTTCTATCTGGTTTGTGCCGAGATCCGCTGGAACCGTTCCAACTCAACTAGCCTCTGTGAACACTCCGTTCAGGTGTAGTGTGCCTTGTCCAAATAATTGTGTGGCCTGCGCTACACACAAGTGTCCTTAATGCAAGTGCTGGTCAATGTCTACAACATCTCCTGCAAACTTGGGAGTGTAGCGCGTCACGCTCAGCCTGGACCTTTTTGGCCGGGTTGAACGTGGCCTCGGGCAAAGGTATCACCTTCGTCCTTGCCGTCTCTAGCTTCCTGTAATGCCATCATCTTTGCTCCAATCACTTTGCATGCCCACGGCATCACATGGTGACAAGAGTGATTCTCTCAGCGCCCACTTCACTCTTAGACTTCATTACACGATCTCCGCCACTCACTTCCAATTCGCTCGCCATCGCCATCTCCTCGAACATTCGTCAATCATCCTCCATACATCCGTCGAACCTCCCCTCCATTCTCCACACCTTCTCTACACTCTGTAGACACCTCCTCGCCTTTGTGGACCCCTCGACGTCCATTCATTCTCGCATTCGCGCCGCCTCAAGCACCCGTCCCCGCATACAGGCGCATACACTCGTCAAGATGCCTCCGAAGGGAAAGCAAACCGGCCAGGCAGCCGAAACGTCTCAGCAGGGGGGCGACGTCGCCTCCTCAGTCTCGCCTGAACCTCAGACGCCTCCTCCTCTCAGCGCCGAGGACATCGTACGAGCCGTCTCTGCTCAACTCAGCCGCGAGTTCGACCAGCGCTTCGAGCAGCTCCAGGCTTCAATCCGACAGCAGCCCGCCTCGTCGGCCCCCGTCAAGTCCGCCGCCCAGCTTCAACAGAGGGTCGAAGAAGAGGCCGCCTGTTAGTGCCCACCAACCGGAGTCCAAAGAGGGGGTGCTCGGCCCCCCTCCCGATTGAGCGATCGTCGTGATCGGGCCCCGACCGACCCTCTCCGGACCCCTCGCAGCGGAGCGGTCGGCCTGACACGACCCTCCTACCGCCCAACCGCGGCTGGCCCCTCCGTACGTAGGATACGACCGTCGGCAACCTAACATTGCAACGCCGCGGTGGGAAGTGACCGATAGTTCCTGTACCTTACCACCCCGCCCCCGCCTGACATGAGGTTGCCTCCGGACCTCGTCGCATGTATTACTTAGTTAGCTCTATAGCAACGCAGTAGTGTGCTCTGACCCCCGACCGCCTGTGTCGCCCCGCCTACGACCTCTCCGTACCCGTAGCCTCCATCCCGGCTGTAGCCGCCCGCGGTATCTAGACCCTACAGCCTTAACATTACATGCGACCTCCCCACGGGACGACGTCGTAACCAAGATGAGTACACGCTCCAACCGACGAAACCAAACGGACGCCTCCCCCCAAGCGGAGGGAGACGCTCCCACCATCTCCCCCAGCGGAGACGAGCCCGCCAGCGTTGTTGCACCCTCGGGCGAACCGCCCGCCGCCCTGACCACCTTGGTCCAAGGGCAAGTGGATATCCTGGCGCTTCTGCGTGAAACCTCTGAACAACAGCGGCGCATTACCGCTCTGTTAGAGGCCGCCTTCTTCCCCAGGGAGGATCAACCTAGACCGGAGTCTTCTCAGCACTACCAAGGAGCAACCGCTGCCCAGGTCCCCCCGCCAACCGTAGCCCCCGTCTACGTGGAGGCCGCGCCCCGCGAGCCAGAGATTCGACTCCAGGCTCCGGAATGGGACGGCAGCCAAGACAAACTGGAGGACTTCTTGGATCAATGCGAACTCAACTTCGAGGCTAATCCCTCCAAGTTTCCGACGGATGCCCGTCGCATCATGTTTGCCATCGGCAACATGACGGGCAAACCACGAACCCGCATTTGCAATGTGCGACAACAGGAGGGGGAGGATCCGCCCTGGATGAGCTCCTGGAGGGCCTTTTGCGCCGACCTCCGTCGCGTCCATGGCGATCCCGACCCCAGCTACACCGCACGCCTCCAACTGAATGCCCTCCGCCAGAAGGGATCAGTATTGGAGCACGCGGCGGAGTTCATGTCGCTGACGGCCAAATCGCACCTGACCGACCAGCAGCAGGCGTTGATGCTGTTTGAACAAAGCCTCCGGCCGCGCCTACGGGAAAAGCTCACCCACGTGCCGATGACCGACATCCGTGACTTCATCAACGCCGCCATTGTCACGGAGCGCCGGATGCAGGTGATACAGGAGGCCACGACAAGACCCGCGGAGTCACAGCTGCGACACCGACCGCCCCTCCCAGCCGTGACGGCCAAACGAGAGCCCCCGGAGGGACCCCGCAAAATGGAACGACCTCCACTACCGGCCAAGGACCCTACGCGTGATGCGGCGGAACGCCTTCGCCAGCACCGACGGACCAACGGGCAGTGCTTCGGCTGCGGTGGCAGCAACCATTTGGCCCGTGACTGCCCAAAGGCGCCCCAAACACAAACTCTCCGGGCACATGCTATTTCATTCGACAACGATTCCGGGACTATACTCGTCAACCCCATGGATGACGGGTCAGCCTCCAACCCCGACAGTGACCTATCGGATTCGGAGGATCCCCCGGAGGGAAACTAAGGGTCGATGGGTTCTTTCGGTCCGAACCCATCGACAACCTAAGCCAGCTCCGGGTGCTCGCCGCAGCATTCTGGGCAGCCCACCGGACCGACACTCCCGTCGTGGAGCAAGAGGGATCCGTTCTCCGGATCCATCGACACCCTACCTTACCAACCTACGAATGCTTGGTAAGCGTCGGCGACACGCAAGGCCTTGCCTTGCTCGATACCGGCGCCACCGCCTCTTTCATTACTCCCGAAATGGTCGCAACGGCCAACATTCTTACCCACTCCCTCCGTAAATCCGTCCACGCCACATTCCTCCAGGGCATGTCAGCCGCCATCAGTCGCCACGCGGCGGTGGATATCATCATCAACAACCACTGCATCACCTCACGCCACCAACTCTTCATCACCCCCATGACCTCCCACAACATGCTGTTGGGGATGGATTGGATCGAGGCCGCCAGGCCGGAGCCAAACTATACCCTCCGTACGTGGGACCTCCGGGTCCCCCACACCGTCACGGTGCCCTCCAACCCCAAAATCGAAAAGAACGAACTCCACAACTTGGTCGGCCGGCGACAGCTGGTCTCCACTGAGGAGGACCTGCTGGTCCTCCCAGAACCGGAAGAGGAGCTACTGCCCCTCCGAGCTTCCGCGACCGACCTCGCCGTCCTACCGCCAGAGTACCGCGAGTACGCCGACGTCTTCGACGCCGAGAGGGCCGACCAATTGCCTCCCCACCGCCCACACGACCACGAGATCAACCTGGAGGCTGGCAAAACCCCTCCCTACGGCGCACTCTACTCACTGTCGCACCGCGAACAAGAGGAGCTCCGGAACTACCTCCGGAAGATGCAGGCCATTGGCTTCATCCGACCGTCGAGTAGCCAAGCTGCCGCGCCCCTCCTTTTTGTACCAAAGAAGGACGGTCGCCTCCGGCCGTGTGTGGACTACCGCGCCCTCAACGCCATCACCGTCAAGGATTGCTACCCGATCCCCCTCATCTCCGAACACCTTGATCGGCTGGCGACGGCCAAGATCTTCACTAAATTTGACCTGAAGGGTGCCTACAACCTCCTCCGGATCGCCCCCGGCCACGAATGGAAGACCGCATTCCGCACGCGCTACGGCAGCTACGAATACCTCGTCATGCCGTTCGGCCTCTGCAACGCTCCGGCGACCTTCCAACGGCTCATGAACCACGTGCTGTCGGATCTCTTAGACGTGTCCGTCATCGTATATCTGGACGACATCCTAGTCTTCTCCGACAACGAGGCCGACCACCACCACCACGTCTGCCAAGTGTTGGATCGATTACGGAAGCATCAGCTGTATTGCGCTCCGGACAAATGCGAATTCCACACCGACTCCATCGAGTTCCTCGGCTACCTTGTCAGTCCCGACGGCCTCTCCATGGACCCGACCAAGGTCAGTACAGTCTTGGAGTGGCCGCCACCACAGTCGATCCGACAGATCCAAGTCTTCCTCGGATTCGCCAACTTCTACCGTCGCTTCATCCGCCACTATTCTCGTGTAGCGGCCCCCCTCACCGACCTCCTGAAAGGAGGAGCCTCCGGAAAGGTAGACCTGCCCCCGGAAGCAACGGCAGCCTTCAACCGGCTGAAAGAAGCGTTCACCTCTGCCCCTATCCTCCGGCACTTCTCTCCAACGCTCTACACCGTCGTCGAAACAGACGCGAGCGATGCTGTGGTAGCCGCCGTGCTGTCGCAGTGGCACCCACAGCAGGGCGCCGACGCGAGCGCCGAGCCCAACAGCCGCTCGCATACCCTCCATCCTGTGGCATACTGGTCGCGAAAGATGATCCCGGCGGAGCGTAACTACAAAATCCACGACAAGGAACTCCTGGCTATCGTAGACGCCTGCGGCGCTTGGAGACACTACCTCCATGGCCTCACCCGACCGTTCCTCATTTACACCGACCACCAGGCGCTCCAGTATTTTCAGACGAAGCGACAACTCAACCGTCGCCAAGCCCGCTGGCAAGCCGACCTGGCTGAGTTCGACTTTGTCCTCCACTACCGTCCGGGTAAGGAGGCCGTCCGCCCCGACGCTCTGA